TGCCTACAGACTTGCACTGCCCCCTGAGCTCTCCCGGGTTCACAATGTGTTTCATGTATCTATGCTGCGCAAGTACAATCCGGACCCTTCTCATGTCGTGGCTCATGAACCGCTTTCACTTCGAGAGGACTTGTCTTATGAAGAAGTACCGGTCAGTATCACGGACCGAGAAAGCAGAATACTCCGTAACCGGGAAATATCATTTGTAAAAGTCTTGTGGCAGAACCACACGCCTAGGGAGGCGACTTGGGAGCTGGAATCAGAATTTAGGGCCCAATATCCTCATCTGTTTGATCAAGAGTAATGAGGCAAATTTGGGGACCAAATTTCTTTATGGGGGGGAGAGTTGTAGCACCCGGAAAGGAGGAGAAAAAAAAAAAAAAAAAAAAGGGGGGGCCACGTCAGCAGCCACGTCAGCAGGCCCGGTCAGCAGTCCCGGCCAACCAGGGCCTGCCACGTGGCAAGATCGCGTCACTCCGAAAGGAGCCACGTTGGCGATCCGCGTGGGTGCGATCCGACGGCCCAGATCAATCGCGCGATCGGACGGTCCAGATTCAAACGCACGGACGGCCCAGATTCAATCAAAAACGAACGGCCCAGATTAAAACGAAATGAACGGCTGTGATCAAAAGGCAAGGGGTTATAAATAGAACCCCCACACCAGACCAAAAACCCTAGCCGCCAGCCGCTCGCCGGAGAAGACGAACCAGAGGCCGACCGCCGCCACCCGCCGCCACTCGCCGCCGCACCGGGGAAATTTCCGACCGCCGATCGAGGTAAATTTCATACCCCCGACTCGTTTTTCCCCACTGATTCCTCCTATGGCCAAATCGAAGCCGAAATCCCGGCCAAACGGCCGGAATACGCGGCCGAAGCCCAGCGGCGCCGCCGCGCCCCCTCTCGGTTTTTGCCTCCGACGAGGCCCTTCCCGGCCTCCGTTCGATGCAATTTTTATATCACCGTGATCACCATTCTTTTCTCTACAGGTTGACCGAAGCCAAATCACCAAAACACGAACCTCGCCGGAGAGTCGCCGTACCCGAGAGCGCCGCCGCCGGTAAGCTCCGCTTTTCCGTGATTTTTTGGCCCCCCGAGGGCCCTAGGGTTGTTTTCTGACAAGGACCAATGCGACTGTGGCCGAATTCGGCCGAAAACGGCCGAAAACAGTCAACCCGAGGCGACTCGCCGCCGCCAGCGGCGGCGCCGTCGCCGGAGCACGGCGGAGCCGCCGTGCCGGAGTTACGATTTGGGCCGAAAGAGGCCCTGGGCCTAATTTGGATTTTTTTTGGAACACGTGCAGGTACTGTTAGTGTGTTTCAGTTCCCCGGGAAAAATTCAGGGAAAATTAAGGACAGCCTGCAGGCGCACTGTGAATCGTATTCGGATCCCGAAAACAAGTAAGGACCCCTCACCCTATTTCCTATCACGGTATTAAAGTTCAAAATGATAAAACAGTATTTCTTGAATTAACGAATGTGTGAAATTGCTTAAGGTAGCTAATGGAGCCCGAGTTTAGTGTGATTGGTGGTTTACTGTTATTTGGCCTGTTTACAGCTTTAAATGCAAAATGAGGTTTGATGTGTTTATTTTACAGATTTGTGTGCATTTACTACGTTTTTATTAATCATGGGTTGAATGACTGAAAAACCGATACTGTATGTTGTCTGTTTGGCATGAACTACTGTTTGCTTGTTTGTATGTGAATTGATGATGCTTATTGAGGAAAAGGAAAATGAAAGATTGTGTAGACTGATAATTGTATGATGGGGTTAGCCTGACTAGATATCCTGGGAGATGGTGGACGGACCGGGTCCGTAGGGAAACCTACCGGGATTGTGGTCTCACATGCCGGACGGGGTATGGAGATCTTATGGTTTTGGCGCCCATACCGGACGGGGTATGGGGACGGCCCGTTTCACCCTCATACCGGACGGGGTATTGAGGTTTATGGTTTTGGCGCCCATACCGGACGGGGTATGGGGACGGCCCGTTTCACCCTCATACCGGACGGGGTATTGAGGTTCATGGTTTTGGCGCCCATACCGGACGGGGTATGGGGACGGCCCTGGAAACTGATTATGAATGTTAAAGATTAACGGGTAGCGGAACCCCTATGGACCCCCACGGATACTAGTAGGCTGGTAAATAAGGAAAATATGTTGTACAATGATTGAATTACAAGAGGCGTGATAAGTGTTATGTTTTACAGCTTAGATTATTCAATGATTATGATGATGTTATTGTTTTTCTCATATTGTTTTCATAAATTCCACCAAGGTAAGTGGATGGTAAAGGTTTTCATGTTAATAAACGAGTTTGTTGTAAATTATGCTCCATTGGTCTTTTTGTGGTTTTCTACCCACCTTTATCTCCGTGACGGTGAGATATCGTGATGTTCTTACTGGGCTAGTGTAGCTCACTCCTTAATTAATCATTTCAGATCAGGAAGACATGGTTCCCGAGCCCGTTCCGCAGGAGGACGACGAAGGGGATGCCTAGAGACTCTGTAGTCATACGCATAGTTTATTTTCGAGTTTTCTTTCTTAGTTAGTTTAACCTTTTATATTTTAAGTACGTTTTTTTGGTTTTTCGTGTCAGGGATGTTAACTGAAATTTTGATCTCGCTTCCGCATTTGATATATTTAAATACTCATTTCATTTTAATATTTTCCGGGGCCGTTACACAATAAATCTTTCATATATATATATTCCACATCATCAACTAATCACCAATTACATACTAATATCTTATATTTACAAATCAACAATAAGTCGTGCAAATAGACGATATATAAATCAAGAAAACATTATTAGGACATTTATTGCAAACAAATCAACAGTTTAGGACACCCAGTTTGGTACACTAAATAACCAAGAAAGTAATTTAAAACTAATAATTTAAAGCACACAATATAACAGTAAGCATTTTAGTTGTTATATGAGAAAATAAACAATAAACTATAACAAATATACACTAACCAATTTTGATTCCACTAGTGACATGTAACTAATTTTAAGTTTTTCTAATTTTTACAAAATATAAGTCATTGATTATTAATCTTCAATTTACCATAATAGGAAAAAAGGTTAGGGATTCTTACTCTAGATTAGTGTCTGAAATGCCCTACTTTTCACTACACCTCCTTGCGTTCTCCGGATTTTCTTGATTTTTTCTCTGAAAATTAAAAATACCCGCCACGTATCCAAAAATACCTCAAAAATCCAAAATATGTGTTTTAAAACTTTTTCGGCCAATTTTAAGATTCCGGCACGGCGGCTCCGCCGCGCTCCAGCGCCGATTCCGCCGCCTACAATGGCGGTTCCCATCAGTCTAACCGTTTTGATTCGGTTTTGGCATGTTTTGGTTGTTTTTGTACATAAACCTGCGAAAAACCAAGTTATGGAACTCGGTTGGTCGGAAAAGGCAAATAACTGAAACTCTACCAGCGGAAGGTCTCCAGATGCAGCGACTCTGTCGTTCCTCCTTCGTGCTGGGGTTCTCCTTCGGTTAACTTGCACTAGAAAAAGACGAGAAACACAATGGTCAGAAAACCATGCGAAACAAAAAATAGGAATAGGGTCATTGGAAAGAGTTTTGGATTTCAGCTGCGGGACTTTGCTCGTGTTTTTCAGCTCACATGTCGGCCTTTCGACTCCGATACGGACATAAAGAGATTCGCAATTGGATTTTGAGCGGGAAAGAGGAAAAAATGTACTTGTTCGACGTCAGCGGTAGCTCCAGTATGGCGGCAACAATGGTCAGTTTCTTTTTCTACCACTCTTCTTCTTTTTCTCCGACGAGGACTGATGCGGCTAGGGTTAGGGTTCTATGTGACGCAATATTTAAATACGCTCCCCAAATCGATATGGACCATTTGTGTGGGGACACGTGACCATCTCCCATCCATTGGATCCCTCTTATTCGGAGAATAGATCTGTACTGCACGATCGGATTAAATCTGACCATCTGATCGCACCTGAAGAAAAAACATATTTAGGTTATCCGTGTGCGTGGTATGCGATCTGGACCGTTAGATCGTCCAAACACGTGGATCACCCGCGTGGCCTCCCGCATGGAGCTGATATCAACGTGTCCGCCACTCGCCGTTTTCTGACTCGTCGTGACTGCTGACGGGATCGTCCCACGTGGCATTTTCTTTTTGCAATTTTAACCTCTATTTTCAAATTTTTTTTCAAAAATACTTTTTTTATTCACAGTTTTATCTTTTTTCCCCAGAATTGTATCAATTTCAATCCTAATTTTATTTTTTTCAAAAATTTCATAAAATTAAAATGAAATAAGATAAAATTATTTAAATGTAATTTTTATTAATTAAAATATCATCCTAGATAAAATTTTTATGTCCAAATATTACAATTAAAGGTATATAAAAAAAATTATTAAATTATTCTAAAATTACCAAATATATTGTTTGAAAAAATAGAAAAAATCATTTCTTGATAAGATTATCCAATAGATGTATATTTTTTTATAATATTTCTTAATAAGATGTATGTAATAAATATATACAAGTACTAAAAACTTTTCTTACTCAAAAACACGCTATCATAAATCATTGCCTCTTTTTTTTTTCAAATAATATTGTAAATTTATAAATTATTTTTTTATTTAAATGCACCTAATAATTATATATATATATATATATATACACACGTAAGCTTAGTGGTTGGCTGCAGCAGCACTGAATACTTTCCTTCGAAATATCTTTTCTGAAACGATAAACATCATCCATCTTCTTTGTCTTAGAATATAATACATCATCATACATGCAATTTCCTTCCAGATCTTTCCACAACCTTCTTTTTCATTCTGTGGGCGCACGCCTTTCTCCTCAACAAATCCTTAAAAACCCAGTTTTTCTCCACAATCCAAATCCATTCTCATCTCTTTCATCATCTTCTACCTCTGCTTCTCTCTCTCTCTTCACCTGTAACTGTTAATTTCTCTTCATGGATACTCCAACCCAAGCACCAGAGATTTCTTCTTTGTTCGAGAGGTTTTTGAGGGAGCGAGACCTCTCTGTTTTCCTCCCCTTCATCTTAGGCTTCACGGATGACTCTACTCGAAACCCAGATCAAGAAACCTCAGAAACGACGTCGTCGACGACGGAGGATTCAACCAGGCAGCGGGATAGGATCATACTCATCAACCCATTTACTCAAGGCATGGCGGTGATTGAGGGTGCCTCCAGCATCGATTCTCTGCTTCGAGCCCTCACTAGCAACAACGAGAACCGCAAGAATGGTCAGCCCCCGGCGTCTAAGGCGTCTATAGAAGCCATGCCGAGTGTGGAGATCAGCGATGGGGATGAGGAAGGCGAGTGTGTGATGTGCTTGGAGGAGTGGGAATTAGGTGAAGTAGCGAGAGAGATGCCTTGTAAGCACAGGTTTCATTCTAAGTGTATAGAGGAGTGGTTGGGGATTCATGGGTCTTGCCCTGTTTGCAGGTATAAGATGCCTGTTGATGAGGAAGAGACAGGGAAGAAGAGAGAGGAGGAGAGGAGGAGAGGTGAGAGGGAGATTTGGGTTAGTTTCTCTTTTAACAGTCGGAGAAGAAGAAGTTCTGATGAAGATCAAGTTATTCCCGGTGATTCTACTGAAGAAGACGCTTCTTTAACCTCCAGAACTGTCAATGAAATGGAGGGTTAAGAATTTCTTCCTTGCTTCTTTTTGTTCTCTCAAAGGGAATTACGTGTACATGGGAATTTTTTTTTTTTTTTTTTCCTTTCTGAATAATTTTCTTTGCAAATCTAGAAATTAAGTTAATTACTTTGGTTTCATTTTTGCTGTCTGCCCAACAATCTTGTTCATTTGATTGGTTGTCTTACTGACGAATTCCAAATTTCATAATTTTCGGAAGTTTGTAAGGAAATTCCTTTTTTCATTATAGCAGATTTGTTTGTTTCAAACATAAATGTAAAGATCCTATCCCTGATACAAGATATCAATACCCAGTTGATATTTAGGGAGAACGATGAGTGACAAAGGCAGAAACTCTTTTCCTCTGCCTGAGTATTTTGATTCCTTGATACCTTCCCAGCATCATAAGGGTAGCCATTGGATTTGTTCCTGGTGATTCTATTAAGGTTGATCCATCTATTACTCTTAATCCTTCAACCCCGAGGACTCTGTAATCCTGGTCAATAACCCTTCCAACAACACAGCCGCCATGAAAGTGATAATAGGTCCTCACATTATCCCGGCAAAACTGTTTAAGTTCATCTTCACTCCTCGTCAGATACTTATGTTGAGGCTGATTTCCCAGGAAAAACGATACTGATTCTGATCTTGCAACATGCTCAAGCACACTTACCATGTTTACACATTCATCCAAGTCTTCTTTCTTGGTTAGATAGTTGAATTTCACCAAAGGGTTTTTCCTGGGGTCTGTACTTTGTAGCTTGAGCGTTCCTTTAGATTCAGGAAATGCAATCTTGGCAGCTATTGGCATCCTTGTTGAATTGAAGCTAATGGGTATAACTCCTGCTTCTATTATGAATTTGAAGTTGCTTGCTATGGCTGCAACTAGTGGCGGCTCTGGTTGTCGAATTTGTGGTGATTCTGGTGAAGGGTCTACCAGAAGAGCAATGCTAGGATTGTCTTTCATCTCTTTTCCAACTACTTTCAGATCCACCATGGTTGAGATATTGAACTTCTCTATGTGCTTTCTTGGACCAATTCCACTTAAGAGTAAGATCTGGGGACTGCCTAATGCACCTGCTGACAAAATAACATCACCCCATGAGCTTGTATTCTCTGGCTGATTGATGTAAGCTTCATAGATTTGATCTGTGCTGCCATCACTTTTCATATACTTTATCCCGCAGACTCTGCTCTCATTTCCATCACCTGCAATAAAAATGACCTTTGAGAACTTCGTATGTGAATTAACAGTGAAGAAAAATTTGTTCTTGATAAGAAATCTTGCTAGTATGTTATTAATTTGCTTACTCCTATCATGGAAGATGAGACTCTTCACTGTTGCATTCAGAAGTACTGTAATGTTACTAGGATTCCCAGCTTCTAAAAGATTGGCTGAGGAATGTCTTTTTCCGAATTGATCAAATATGCTTCCTCCGATTTTTGTTCCTGGGATATGCTCCAAACTGAATCCATTGTAGGGTAGAACTCCTGCTTCAAGGAAACCGAACTCAACAACAGTCTGCCATGGAGTTAACTCAGGTGTGGAAACAACTCTGGATTCCACCCATTTATAAGAATCTTGAACCAATTTTTCTTCCCACCCGGCTTGCTTAACAAAATCCTCACTCGCCCGGCTATAGAAACCACCATTTATAGCTGAGGATCCTCCAAGAACTCGTCCTCTTAAGTTGCCGACACCATCTTCGGAGACGAAACCTTGTGCAACTGACGAATATTCATCAGTTTGTAACAATGAGAACCCGTAGGACTCTCTGTCTGTGATCAGAGGATTCCCATAAGGCGAGCCGCCGCGTTCTACCAACAATACCGAGAATTTCTCAGACAAGGTTGCAGCCAGGGGACAGCCGGTGGTCCCTCCCCCGACTACAATGTACTCAAAGGACATGCCTGAGACTTCTTCCGCATCTGCAGTCACGTACCTTGGCTCTTTGCCTATCAACAACGAATGAATAAGAGATCAAATCAACTAATACCCCTTTTTTATTTACTTAAATCTCTTTCTTGTTGAGAGTACATGAATCTAAATGGTGGCATACCTTGACTAAATGAAGAAGAAGACAGGTTAATGCAGAGGAACAGAAGTAGTGCGAGAAGGCAGTGATCATAAAGTCCCATATCGGATGTATGATCCAACAACCAACACCAATGGTTGAAGAAGACAAGATGAGGGATTTTAAAGGGTTGTTTGTGTGTTTAATCATTGACTGTTTGGAGAACGCTGGGAATAATTTAATGAGGTTTTGTAGGCATAATTGCATGGTTTAGCTAATGATTCATTGTTTGGTTAGATAATAATGATTTAATTGCTATGATGGTTTCTGTAGCTTCAAGGTTTATTCTTAATTTAGGGTTGCTTGGATGATAATTCAATAATTTTTTTTATAATTTTTTTTTATTTGTTTATATTTACAAATATATGATATAATTTTTTTATAGTTTAGTTATAATTTTTAAAATTATAATTTTTTTCAATTTTTTAAAACTATAATTTTATAATATTTTTTTTTCTTTATATTCTTAATATTTTTTATTATTTATAATATTATTCTTCTCTTAAATTTTTTCTATTACACTAGTTTTTATTTTTTTTTTCTTCTTTCTAAAATATTGTATATATATATATATTTATATTTTTAATTATATATACATATATTTATATATTTAATTATAAATTTTATTATATACATAAATTTATATGTATTTATATATTTAATATACATGTATATAATATTTTAATTATATATATTTATATATTTTTATATTTAATATTATATATTTTTTTAATTTTTTTATATAATAAAATATATATAAAATAAAAAATTTGTTCAAATATACAAACATACTATCTTATCAATTCAAATAAAAATAATTGTGATTATTAAACATTAATAAATTATCATTTAAATATAATTAAATTTAAATATTAATAAACTTTGTACATATCCCTGATATCAAGAAACCCTCGTGTAAATCTAAATAATCTCATCTGGACCTTATACTTATCTTCCTCTGCTAATATATATATATATGTATATATAATGGAAGAAATTAGCAGCCTAAACACACTCCTTTCCCTTTTAATTATTTCTAGTAAACATGATATAAAAATTTAAACCAATTGGATCAAGTAAATTTAGATTATGATAATAAAAATGAATTTATTAGTAGAAAAAAAATATATATATATATATATATATAATTTTACGTACATAAAAGAATTTTTAATTAAAATTGAATAAAATTTTTCATTAAATTAAGATTAAATTTTCTAACCAATTAAGAGTTTTTGTGATCAACTAAAACTGAAAATATATTTTAAAATTAATATATTTTAAAATATATATATTATAAAATTAATTTCATTTTAAAAGACATTTTTTAAAAAATAATATATATATATATAACAATTTTATTATAGGATAATCCGTTAGTTTGATAAAATAAATAAATATTTATTATAAATTTAATTTCATTAATTCCTTATATATATATATAAATATAAAATAGATAACAAAAACTCTAATATTTTTATTTTATTATAAAATAATCCGTTAGTTAGTAAAATAAAATGGGTCGGGCCCTGCTTGAAGGTGCAAGATGCCCGTTTAGGGAAAACGAGAGAGGGAGAGGTGAGAGTTGAGATGGAGATTTGGGTTAGTTTCTCTTTCAACAGTAGGAGACGTAGAAATTTTCTTGGAGGGGAACCTCTTTCCAGTTGATTTTAGTGAGGACGACGCTTCTTCAACCCCCAGACATGTCAATGAAATGGAGGTTTAGACATGCTTCTAAGGATTCTTCTTGCTTCTTTTCTTCCGTTCATGGGGAATGACATGTAGATGGAACTTTTTTTTTTCCTGAGAATAGTTTCCTTTGCAGGTCAATGAATAAGATTAAATATTTTGGTTTCAATTCGTTGCCCATTTATGCCATAATCGTTTGAATTCTAAAGTTCATATCTTTAGATATATGTTTAGTATAACTTATTTATTTGTTCCAAACATAATGTAAAGATTATATGACTGAGACAAGATATAAATGTCAACTGGGTATTCTATGTAGCATGATGGGCTCCAAATGCAGAAGCCACTTCCCTCTGTCTGAGTATTTTGATTCCTTGATATCTCCCTAGCATCAAGAGTGTAGCCATTGGATTTGTTCCTGGTGATTCTAGTAGAGTTGATCCATCTACTACTCTCAATCCTTCAACCCCAAGCACCCGGTAATCCTGGTCAACAACCCTTCCAACAACACAGCCTCCATGGAAGTGATAATAGGTCCTCACATTCTTCTTGCAAAACTGTCTAAGTTCATCTTCACTCCTCGTCAGATTCTTGTCTTGAGGCTGAATTCCCAGGAACAAAGATACTGATTCTGACATTGCAACATGCTCAAGCGCACGTACCATGTTTACACATTCATCCACGTCCTTTTCTTTGGTTAGATAGTTGAATTTCACCAAAGGGTTTTTCCTCGGGTCTGTGTTTTGTAGCTTGAGCATTCCTTTAGACTCAGGGAATGCAACCTTGGCAGCTATTCCCATCCTTGTTGAATTGAAGCTAACTGGTATAACTCCTGCTTCTATTATGAATTTGAAGTTGCTTGCTATGGCTGCAACTTGCGGCGGCTCTGCTTGTTGATTTTGTCTTGACTTTGGTGGAGGGTTAAACACAAGAGCAATTCCAGGGTTGTCTTTCATCTCTTTTCCAACTCCTTCTAGATCGACCATGGTTGAGATATTGAACTTTTCTAGGTGTTTTCTTGGCCCAATGCCGCTTAAAAGTAAGAGCTGGGGGCTGCCTAATGCTCCTGCTGACAAAATAACATCACCCCATGAGCTTGAATTCTTTGGCTGATTGAGATAAGCTTCATAAGTTTGATCTGTGCTGCCATCACTTTTCACAAACTTTATCCCGCGAACTCTGCTCTCATTTCTGTCACCTGCTGTTTTTGAACAGGAAACATGAGCTATGAGAGCTTTGTATGTGGATATACAATGAAGATAAACTTGTTCTTGATAAGAAATCTAGCTAGTGTGTTATTAGTTTGCTCACTATTGTCTTGGAAGATGAGACTCTTCACCGTTGCATTTAACAGTACTGTGATTTTACTAGGATTCCCAGCCTCTAAAAGATCAGCGGAGGAGTGTCTTTTTCCAAATTTACCATAGATACTTCCTCCTATTTTTGTTCCCTGGATATGCTCTAAACTGAAACCGTTGTAAGGTAGAATTCCTGCTTCAAGGAAACCAAACTCAACAGCAGTCTGCCATGGAGCTAACTTAGGTGTGAACACAACTCTGGATTCCACCCATTTATAAGAATCTTGAACCAGTTCCTCTTCCCACCCAGCTTGCTTAACAAAATCCTCACTGACCCGGCTATAGAAACCACCATTTATAGCTGAGGATCCTCCAAGAACTCGTCCTCTTAAGTTGCTAACACCGTCTTGGGAGATGAAAACTTGTGCAACAGATGAGTATTCGTCAGTTTGTATCAAAGAAAGCCCGTAGTACTCTATGTCTGTAATAAGGGGATTTCCATAAGGTGAGCTGCCCCGTTCTACCAACAATACCGAGAATTTCTCAGACAAGGTTGCAGCCAGGGGACAGCCGGTAGTTCCTCCCCCGACTACAATATAATCAAAGGACATGCCTGAGACTTCCTTGACATCTGCAGTCATGTAGGGGAGCTCTTTTCCTATAAACAATGAATGAAGAAGAGATCAAAGCAGTGATAAAATCTGCTAGTACCCTTTTTAACATGTAAAAATTTGTGCTTGTTGAGAATGCTTCAACCTAAACGGTGGCATACCTTGACTAAGTGAAGAAGAAGACAGACTGATATACAGGAACAAAAGAAGTCTGAGAAGCCTGTGATCGTCGATGTTTTGTGGAAGTCCCATATCCGATGTATGATCCAACAACCAACGCTAATGGTTGAAGAGGATAAGATGAGAATTCACTAATGGCTTGTTTGTGTGACGAATACAAGGAACAGTTTATTGAGGTATGTAGGCCTGATGCCCACTGTTTGTTTGATAGGAATGGTTTTGTTGCTACACTGCTGCTTTCTTATTGTCAAGGTTAGGCTTGCTTTATGTTTATCTTTCTCTACCCCAAATACATGTATGTGTAGCAGATGAAATATGCAACCTAACACCTCCTTTTTTTCGTTGATTATCTTATTAAATAGAAAATTAAAAAAAAAAAGTCAACTTTTTTAATAGTAACAAAACTGAAGATCTTTGGTTCAAATCTCACCAATCTTGCCCTTAGACTTGAAACTTAATTATATAGCATATGTGCGATACGATTGTAAATACAACACCAAAATATCCTTTGAAAGATCCCATTGACTATGCTTGCCAAATTTTGATTTTTAGAGATTTGCAATGAGGAAGTCTATGAACATTTTTAAGTTAATTTCCCTTTAGTATCATCTGTTGCCAGGATAAGATCCAGAGAGAGATATCATCACAAGACGTATCCACACCATATATTATACCATCTTTTTTTTATATGGATGTTATATTATATACACATTCTATCAACAAAACATTAGCTTTAAGAATCATATTTTGCTACATATACTATATTACTAAAAAGTCTAAAACCCACCCACTGAATGTTCCGTAACAACAAAGTTTCCCCTTGAACTATTGGTATCGTTTCAGTTCAAATCAATTGCCTTTGGACCTTGTTCAGAGTCATTGAGATGATACTGGCTATTGAGATCCAGAGTCCCCAGAAACCCAGAGTTTCCCAGTTGATCATTTCTCTTCTCCTGATGAATCTCTAACATCTTTGATAATGGTTGCTCAACACAGATTCCATCAGAAATGGTACTGCAACTTCTTTTTCTCCCAACAGCTTGGTTGCTTGAATCACCACTCCATGGCTTCTTTTCTGGGTGTATAGCCATTAATGGAAGTTCAAGACAAGTATTAACCTTGCTGGGTCCACCATTGTCATTTCCACCAGAGCTTTCAGATGATGTCAATGAGCTTTCCATTGAACATATGGTACCTCTTGTTCCTTTCTGATTGACATCTTTCATGATTGAATCACCTACTTCTGTTAGTTCTGAAAATGAAGAACTAGGGCAGCCAGTGTTGACCATTGAGACGAGTCGAGAGAGTTCAGCTTTTGCAAGTTCTATGCCAACCGAAGAAGAACTATAACCAGCAAGGGTTTCTTGAGCTTTCTTTAGTACTGACTGTAAGTACTTCCCTTGGGCTTCAATTCTCAGCTGCAAATGTCTCTGCACCTGAAAAATGGAATTCAGCTTTATTTCCATCTGTTAGAACACCAACTATTAAATTAGAAACTGAAGAATGAATTGGGCATTAATTATCTTACTTCAATCTGCTCATGAAGTTTTCTCTGTACTTCCATTTGCACTTGCAGTGCCTGAGCAATCTGAAAGTTTCTGATAAACGAAAAAAATTTACAGCGTTAATACAATGACTTTGTACAATCATTTACGTTCAGAATTGATTGGGTTTATTTCTGACTATTACTCATTAATCTGATTGTGGTTTCCATTGTTCATATCCGTGTTGAAATGGCCGTGACTACCACTCTGGACCTCTCCGTAATCTGCAACAGAGACAATTATCACAAAAAGTGAGTCAGGAAGGATAAGAAACGAGATTATTAGAGCAATGATCGGGAAGCAGTTGAATCTAATTCACCTTCTTGGTTGTTGTCAATGCAGGTTTCAGCCTGGTGGCCTTTGCCAAGCCTGTACTTCTGCAACAAAGAAATAGGAAAAAAGTTTTTGACTCTGTTTTCATGTCGAAAAGAGGAGTAAAAAGATCGACAAGAAAGGGAAGAAGCACCTGTAAATGGCTCTTAAGGTGGTACAAAGTAAGTCCAGGAATTCCCATAACTCTCATCAAACTCTTGGGTGTTGCCTCTGGCAAAAATATATATAAAAGCCAGAATGGATGAAATCAATACAAACACCGTTGGAGGAAGAAGTGATGATGAAAAGATAATTGATGCATTGAAACATTTACAAAACTTAACTGTCTGCACCTCCAAGCTGATTGATAGCTTCAACAAATCTGTGATGGAGTTCAGGAGTCCACTTCAACCTAGGCTTAGCATCAGTAGACAAAACCAAGTTCATGTTTTGATTTTGCAGACCCATTTGGAGGAGTGAAGTACACGGGCATGAAGATATGAGGCAGGTAAAGCTTCTGTTCTTATAAATTCTGGAGGGTAGTTGGGGGAGTTCTCACTCCATATCTGGAAACATGAGTGGGGTTATGTTGGAGAAGGGAATATATGCCCACGAGCTGTGTCTCTTCCTTTCTTCAGTCTCTCCACATTTCACACCAACTTTTCTTTTTTTTTTTTCTTCTTCTTTTTTTTTTCCCCCATAAATTTTGTAATAATTTTTTTGAAAAATAATTTTGTTCTTTGACTTGAAAGGAGTAGAGAGAATCTCTGAGGGAGCAAAAACAGAGAAAGCAACACAGTTCAATTAAGGGTCTTAAAAGGAGAGAAAAGAAGAAAAGTGTATGGTTTGTTTTTATGTTGCTGTTTTCCCCCATTTCTCTCTGCTTGATTCCCTGCTGAGTTAGGTTTGCCCCACCATCACGAATAATGGGAACTACTTTCTTTCTTCCCACTCTTAACCCATCAATGAAGGAAAATTCAATGGAAAAAAGAACAAAAAATTTGGATAACTATCACTAAATCTTTTATATATATATATATTCTACATTCTGTATCAATTAGACTCTTCACTTTTTTTAATAAAGCAGTCAGTCTCAAATATTTCTGTACTGTATCAAATTCATACTCCACACAACAATAATACTTTTGTCATTAAGTTATAACAAAATTGAAAGAAAAATCTTGTAAAATTAACTTCAGATTTTGATTTCATCCCAATGCATAAATAAGATATGAGAAGATTTTTGAGATAATTACAGGGGGAAAAAAATGTAATAATGGAGATTTCTTTTTGGTGACTTAAAAGGAAAAAATTAAGTTCATCTTTATTTTGTTTTTTTTCTTTTTCTAAAGAGGATGTGGCGTGATTGGCAGATTCTTTTCGTTGTTTGTAGGGATAAAAGAATCAAAGAATCTAACCTTAGAATTTAGGACCCCAAGGACCAAGGGTACCCCCTATATATATACATATATACATATATATGTATATTATATAAAGAAGTATCCTTGAAAAAGCAAATGAAATGGGTCATTTTTACAAGAGAGTGATGAGGATGAAATTCCCATGTAATTCACCCAACAAAAATATTATTCCCCCTGGAAATTGAACCGAAGAGACAGCAAACATCTGTCTGATTTATCCAATTACAGAGGAAGGAATCTCAGGTGCTGACTCTGTCAACTGGCCCTACTATTATTACTTCACCTCCGTTAATGATCAATCATTAAACCTAAATTAACAGGAACCCATTTGTCAAATGGAAAAGTTATCATCAACAACAATAATAATTCATATTTCAAGCTGCTGTGAGAAAATAATGGACTCACCCAGTTGGTAATTATAGTTTAACTGTGTCAAAAAAGTACACATTATCAAACTCTTAATTCAAACACACACAAAGTTATAAATAGGAAGAAGTTTACCATGCGTATAGGGTTTGCTTTATTATAAATAAAATAATAGAAAACGATAACAACAAAACAAAATTAGAAAGGGTAAAATTGTATTTTACCCTTTCAAAAAATACCCGAAAGTGAACAAAGCCAAGAGTGAATGAATGAATATAGGAGTCCTAACACTGCAGTTTTTTTTTTGTTCTTTTGGGAGCTGGGTGGGACCAGACGAGACTTGGGATTGCTGAGAAAAGCTACTGCTTTTAAATGCATGCCCTTCATATCATCAGCCTCTGTAAATATTTTTTTTTTTTTAAAAAAAGTGAACAGACTTGTGTTTGTATGTGCGCACGTCCAAATGTGAGAATGTGTATGCACTGTTTCTCAGAAATTAAAATAATGAAATGACAAAAAGGTCCATATAATTAATAGATAATAACATTCTTTCTCATATGGAAGTAATCATCAAGACTTACAGTGCAAAAAAAGGATATATATATATATATATATATATATTCATTCCAAAGACAACCTTTGCTTTAACTCTGCAATCCATATCCAAACTGAATTATTAAAGAAAGAAAAGAAAGAATGTATTTTCACACACAAAGAAAAAGGGAAGCAACTATGGCCAACTAAGAGCTTGAGAAATTTCAATGGAATCACAGATTGATCTTTGAATTTCTCGGGTTGAGTTCAAGAGTTTGATCATTGGAATCAAAATCCAATCATTCATCTCCTAAGCATTGCCATTAAGGTAAGTTCAAGATAGTAGATAATACAGAGATGATAGAAAGGTAAAGAACATGAATGAAGATATAGGTATAGGTGGTTGAAGATTTTCAGTAAGTTAACTGATAGCATTTCATTTTAATTGCTAATAAGAGAACATAATGAAAAGGTTCAGTGATAAGATCCGATGGTTACTACCACCATCCTCTAGTGGTAAAAGTCTTATAATGAAAAATCAACTTGGTGGACCCAACTCACAAGGAGGAAGGGTTCTTCCTCAGCAAGCATCTCATTGCTGTGTCCCCAGAACCATAATTTGTTAGTGGCTAGCTCATAGTTGATACAAGAAAGAAAGGAATATATATATGACATATACATTTATATATAATTATTGACAGGTTCTTATGATATGTGGCCCGGATGTTTGAAAAACAAGAAAAGAGGGGAAGAGTTGTTCAAGTACCTTTCTCTTTAACCAGCTGCTGTACTTGGAACTCCTTTCTTGCTTTGATATATTCCATAACAGGTAAAGGAGATTCCGGGATGATGCCAGATGGCCCCTGGTATTTTTAGATCAGTAGGAGAAGGTCCGGTGAATCAAAAGTCATTTTAAACAAAGTTACCTCATCAATTAATATTCCTCTCCGGACCCATTACAAGAGATTTCTTTTACAAATCAAAAAGCATGCAAACAAGATTAGAAGAATATGGCCTAAGGAATCAGGAAAAGAGAAACAAAAGGAACTAGTCACCATCCTACGAAATAATAATAGTAATTTGATGCAATTTTATGTGGAGAGTGTTACAGCAATGAAATGATGTCAGCAATATGTCACTAATCGGTTTATTAGTCTAATTGTTAAAGAAAGTTATCTTAAGCTTCAAAAGAAGAAGAAATAATAAGTAAAGTGCACATTGTTAAAGTAAGAGTTTAACAAAGTATTTTTCTTACACATCAATGGATGGGCTGTACCAATAAACTAAACAACAAGAAACAAAAGACAGATGCACACAGACCCGCACATGATTGATGGAGCCTGAACTACGTCCTTGCTCCCTGGGACTTCGACTCTTTCATTGGTTCAGTTGTTTTATTCTGCTGCAGATTTAAACTCTCTTTCATTTTCCCCTTTTTTTCAGTTTTCTTGCAGTCTGCAGGTGAGGGATTAAGAATTCATGAGAAACAAGATTTTATTTTTCCCAAGAACAAAAAGAAAAGCACTGAAAAGCAGAAGTCATTATTTGAAAAGGGAAAATGAGAAAGAAGACAAATATGTATACTCTTAACAATAATCAAATTTTTTCATGTTTTTCCGAGAATAAATAAGAAAATCTAGACCTGATGTACACTGTTAACTCCTAAAATGAAGGAATACATCCATTTGAACTAGTTATATGGTAAAACAAACTAGCATGCCTTCAATTCCATGAATTTCCTCAAAAATTATGCTCAGTGAATCATCAACCACATGCACAATCACAATCTAGCTTCAACAGTAATGGCCTACCATATATCAAAATTTGCAGTTAATAATAAACTCTCTCTCGTCAAAGCAAAACAGGAGAATAATTTGGATAATGATAAGTACAAAACTTGTCCAAAAGGCACTATCACCCATATTACGGGAGCCTTATTGTTTTACCTTTAGACTTTAGTGCAAAGTTTAGGTTTGTTTAATTTTTTGTATCTCACAGTAAATGAAGGATCATAAATAAATACAAGAATCTAAAGCAGCACTTGGCTCATTAAATGGTAGACATAATTGCTTTTCACCATGGCAGTAAACGTCACAATTTCTCCATTAAGTGATATTCAATTTCCAGAATCTATATAACCACAACATATTTGTCCATGGCCCCACAACTTGACTGATAGAGACAAAGTAGAATCATGCAGAAATATTCCCTCAAATAATTCAGGCAACTCATTTCTGGTGAAATTGTACACCATTTGAAACCACCAGGGTTGACATGACTCAACCCAGAAGCCAGCATAGCATGCTAATGGGAAAGAAAGAAGCTGCAGAAGATGGGAGCAGTTCTCATCTGAAAAACCAAATCCGTAGAGGAATAGTAATCTAATTTCAAATAACATTGCTACTTCTTGAACCATCAATATGTACTGCTCTGACTTGATATTCATGTGAAAGAAAACAATAGTAATAGGAAATTAGGAGTAAGTCTATTCTTGCCTGATTAAGTTGCAATTAGATATTCAATTCCAAAAAAGAAACAGGAAGAAGGAAAAAAGAGATTGCCGTGAGATAGATAAACAGATCTAGACTGCAGCATGAATTCTCTGGTATTTGGCCTCTCTCTTTCTTTGAGGCAATTTCCTTCCTGTCACTATCAATCCATGAACAGAATCTTGCTTTTCATGCTTTAGGAATATTAATGAGCAAAAAACAAATTATGTTGCTCCCCAGCAAGAATTGACTCATTCCATCAATCTGAGAAAGAAAATAGTTTCTTTTCCTTCCTTTCCCATCTCTCTCTCTCTCCATCTATGCATGTCGATATAACAAATACTTACTGTCCCAAAATTCTAAACTCCTTGCGTTAAGGAAGACTTTCTCCTGGTAAATACGCCATGGACATGTTCAATGGAAAAGACAACAAAGTCAATTTTCACTGCCAAGATTTGTTACCAAATGCTCAACAAAAAGTGACCATATTTGAGAAAATACACTAATACTGATGTCATAGTGCTCCATTAATGCCAGGAGGTTAGAGCAACTTATAATTCAGAACCTTTGAACTATATGGTTCAGAATATATGTCACGTGATCCTGAAATTACATCTCTTTCACACATCTTCTCAGCAACTAAATTAACCACATGCTTAACCAATACTTCCAAAAAAATTTTGGAATTATCTTCTGAGTAGTATAAATTAACCATGGCCTCCTCCTAGGCTATATTTTCAAAACAAAGGAAAAAAATAAAAACAAATTTAGCTGTCAAGATTCCAGCCTTTACTTTATTCTTTTATATTTTCAAATAAAATCCATGTTGGATCCAGACAAGATTTGCAAAACTTATAACTCAATCAAAGCTACGAACTTAGTCATCCAAATTCTACCCATCATTTTCTTTCTGTATATATTTGAACAGAATATGTCCTGAAAGTAAATTATTAGAAACCAAGATTTTCTGGAGCAAACATGGATCCAAAAATTCTTGGATCCCAAACTTAAACACTGCCTACATAATACCTGGATCATTATTGAAAGAGGACCAGGCATCTCATGGTAACAGAAGTCATATTTCTGAGGACTACCTGTTTGTTATCGTGTAGGAGACTTTTAGCAACCATATGTGAATATCAACACAGAGAGAATACTAAGAAAGGTTAAGCAGGCCTTTTGGACTATGGGAAAATTGATTTCTCATGTTCTAAGAATATTGAGAAAAAAATTTCCAATTCGATCCTAAGATAGTTCAAAAGATAAAACAGCAGACGGAAAAAAATTGAAGAAAATGCTAAATATGGAAGTTCTAGTCTGGAACCAAGCATCTAACTACTGCTTTAACATAACTGTGATGCTGCAATGCATTTGTCTTCCTTATGATGTCCCTAAAGCAAAGACCCCACCATATTATATAATAACTAATTATGTTGGTTGCCTTCAGTTGGTAAAAGAAATATGTTTGTACTTCATCAACATCATAAACCATAATTAGGATCAAAGGCAGGCAAGATGACTCAGTTGACAAATATCCTCTCCATCTTGATAACACATGCATTAGAAATTATTTGCTACTCATGGCACTGATATACATTACTTGTAAGCAATGTATTGTTTGGAAGCAATGTTAGACGGACAAGGATGAACTAACAAAAATCAAGCTGCATGCTGCTCATGGCTCCTATATACAGTATATGATTTGGGAGCTTATTTTCATGGCACTGCAAAGTCCATTTACATGGCCCCTCCTGTTTGATGTATCACAAATTGTTCAATTAATTCAATGGGATTCTACATAAGGTTGTATAATCATGATGAAATCTAGAAGAATTAATGCTTTTGTTGCTACCCAAAAATAGGCTCACCTATCTGTGGACCCTATGCAAGCATGGATCAGAATTGCGCAAGAACAACTTTGTCCAATAACAAGGCATATAGTCAGGTATACTCAATTTATTCAATTCACTCAGTCTTTGTGTATTAATTCTTTTCCATTTTTATATTGATTTAAACATGAAAGTGCATATGCTAGAAAAAACTTGGGCTCTCTCAACAAAACTATTTTTTCTTTCTATATGCCAATCCATTTAAATCAAGTACGACCCATCAACCTCTAGTCTACAAAATCTTAGCATACATCTCTGACTCGACATATCCTTTTTTCTAATTTTGCGAGTGTGAACCTTGAAAATTTAGCAGGATATATACATATATATAATATACATATGTGTCTGTATAGATAACCTTTTCTTAGGGTTAAAAGTCCAAATTCCACCACAAGCATAGTCCATATATCCATTCTCTTCACCTTTTTTATACACTTCTCATCTTCATCTGGAAAATGGAAAACAATCGACTCTACATTCTTCACGACATAAAATGGCATCCAATAAGCATCGCAAACAAATCGAAGTCAAAGCCAGAGCATTGACAATAACGGAGTAGATTATCATACCCTAATTTTTTAAAATAACGACACAGAATATTCCCATTAACAATAGCAAGACAGATTCACAAGAAGACGAAAGGAAAAGATTGCTCGCTGTGTATGATCTTACCTCATTTGTGATAATCGTTGTGCTTTCCGGAACTGTTTCATTGCCATCGCTGATAAGCTCATTGAACGGGGAGAAGAACAGTCTGCGATGGGAAAAGTACGACTGGAAACGACGACGTTTTCTTACCAGCATCCTCTTGCTTGAAAATTGAAAATCAGTCGTAGCGCCAATGAAGCTCCATGCCGACTTCAACGGCCGCGTAAAACGCAAGCTTAGGCACCGTTTTAATCCATCGGGTTCTCTCCATCATGGGCCGGCCCATTATGCTAATAAATCGGATTGGGCCAGGCCATGAACCGTATATATTTTAATTAATTTATTAATAATTTTTTTATTTTTTTATTATTTTTTTTTAATTAATAAATTTAACCTCACCTCCTCTTTTCTAATCTCATAAATAATTACTACCCACCCAATTAGAAGTAATTAAATTGGGCAAAACATGTTTTAAGTTATCCTTGAAAAAGATGATCATGCGAATTTCTTCATCCTAAACTTAATTAATGAAGATTAGTTTATCTAATTGGAGCAAATTAATTGCCCAATTAGTATCAAGAAAATGATTTTGAGTGAAGGAAATGGAAACTAGTGATTGCAATTTGCAAAGTGACCAACACCTCATAACCCACTTATTTTTAGTACTCCCCACTAATCTACATATACATATATACATATATATGTAATATAGATATGTGTATATGTATGTATATATGTCTCGGTCAATGCTTTCTTTTTTACTTTAATTAATTTATTTGGACTTTTGCTCCATGTTGGTAGTCCAAAAGGGTCCAAAATTTTGTTAATTTCTACTCTCATATATCTAAATATATATATATATATGTGTGTGTGTGTGTGTGTGTGTGTGTGTGTGTGTGTGTGTGTGTGTGTGTGTGTGTGTGTGTGTGTGTGTGTGTATTCAATCTTTCAACACTTCCA